AGGCTTTAGGACAAAGCCATGGGGACAGGGGACACAGAGGGGGCAGGGATGGGGACAAAAGTCGAGGCTCAGACTGGGGGGACGCGTGGGGGGTGTGTCCGGTGAGCCCCGCCCCCCTCTCTCCCTATTGGCTGCCGGCGGCTGTCACTCAAGCGCGCCCCCTTTAAAAGCGGAGTCGGCGCGGAGCGGCGCAGAGCGGCGGATGGCGATGAGTGCGGTGAGAATTGGGGGGAAAAAGGGGAAAAGGCGGAAAAAAAGGGGGAATTAAGGGGAAATCCGGGGTCACCCGCTGTTCCCCGCTGTTCCCCGCCGTTACCCGCTGTCTGCTCTCCCCGCAGCGCAGCCCCGATGCATCCCCGCGTCCTACGGAGGCACCCGGAGGGCAGCAGGAAGGTGAGGGACCCCATCTGGGGACTGCAGAGATGTGGGGCGGGTTGGGTTCGGCGATGGGGAGGAGGGGGGAGGACGAAGCCGCGCTCCTTTGGGTGTCCCCGGTGTCCCAGAAGGGCTTGGGGCTCGCAAGTTCTGCCGTTGGGGTTTGGGGGGGGCAGCTCTGGGTGCCCCGTAAGGGTTTGGGGGCGCAGCTTTGGGTCATGGGGCGCTCCCTGTCCTGGGTGGGGGCCTTGGGTGGCCCCAGTGCCCCTATGGGGTTTTGGGCTGCACCTTTGGGCGCTCCTTGCCCCGTATTGTCATGGGGGGGGTTGCTTTTGGGGTGCATCTTTAGGTGTCCCATGCGGGTTTTGGGTTGCATTTCGGGTATCTCCATTACGGACGGGGCTTTTGGGGTCCCCCGTTGCCCCCTGTAGGTTTTTGGGGTGCACCTTTAGGTATCCCACGACGGTTTTGGGGCGCACGCCGGGTTTCCCCATTACAGACAGGGGCTCTTTTGGGGTCCCCGCGTCTCTGACACAGGGAGGGGGGTGCTGGCATCGCTCCGAGGGGCTGCGACCAATGCGGCCCCTTTTGTGTCTCTTCCCCCGACCCCAAACCCCGCAGCCAAAGCTGCCGACCCCAAAAGGACGGAGGAGGAGGAGGAGGAGCTGATCGACATCGATCTGAGCGCACCCGAAACGGAGCGGGCGGCTCTCGCCATCCAGGGGAAATTCCGCCGTTTCCAGAAACGCAAAAAGGAATCGGGACCCTAAAGAACCGCCCGGGCCGGCTCCCCCACCCAGCACCCCTCCGACCCCATTATTCGCATAGGGGCCGCAGACCCATCCCACCCCCCCACCCCCCCCTCATTTTGGGGGCTCAGCTCTCCTATGGGGTCAACGTCAAGAGTTCAGCCCTAACCTATAGGTGAGGGTCCCCCCCTTTAATGTGTGTGGGGGGGTCCCCCGATGTCCCCCAGCCCTGCTGTAAGGGGGGGGCACCTCTCCATCCCCCGGCGTGACCCCATTTGTCCCCCTTAATGGTGATGTTGATGCTGGGGGGGGGGTTATGGGATGGTGTCCCCCAAATGAGAGCCCCCCCCGTGTCCTCTTAAAGGGGCAGGGGCTGTTGAAGGCTGTGTCACCTGTGTCACCTGTGTCACCTATACCCCCCCCCGCACCCCCACTTTGCTTTCTGGGGGGGTGAGCACTGGAATAAAGCAGTGGGAGAAGAGAGAGCTGGTGCGATATGTGCGGGATCCCCCCCCCCCCCTCCGGAACCCCAAATCTCTCCGCGGCCCCTTTTAGGGTGGCGCCGGCCCCATCTGAGGCGTCCCTTTGGGGTCGGGGCGTTGGGGCCTCAGTGGGGATCCTCACCCCATCGTTGGGTTTCCCCCTCTGCCCCCAAAATCCTCGGGGCTTTGGGGGTCGGTGGCGGCGCCGGTTCTGCGGGGTGACGTGGGGACAACGGGAGCGGTTGGGAGCAGAAATAACTCCGGATAGGAAAATCATCCCCGGAGCCAAGAGGAGGGGACGCCCCGTGGGGCTTAGGGCTGCCCCATAGCGCTGCCCCCGTGCGCTCCGCAGACTTATTAGGGCAAAGCCAATTATAGGGTCGCTTGGGTGGGGGCTGCGGGCGCTGCGGGGTCGGGGCACCGTGCCATAATGCGGGGCTGTAGGGTGGGGGCAGCCCTACGTGTAAGCTTGAAGGGGGAGGGGGGGGCAGACAGAGCCAGGTCCCAATGGGGAGGCGGGAAGGGAGGGACGGGGGGCCCCAAATCCACCCTATAGCTTCTTTTTTTTGTGGGGGTGTGGGGGGGGGGGGGGGTTAATTAACGCCGACGCGATAAGAGGTGGGGAAACCGCAGCTCGTAACGGGGGGCTGCGTGCAACGAGTTTGCGAGTGCTCAGCCACCCCCAGGGGACCCCAAAAAGCTGAAGGCCCGTGGGGATGACGCCCCAAATCCTCAATGGGGCGCACGGGAGATGTGAGTTTTATTAAGGGCGCTGTGGGGGTGGGGATGAAAAGGGGGGGGGGGGGGGGGGGGGGTGGGCGCCCCGGGGGGGGGGGGGGGGGGGGGCCCCGCCCCCGGGGGGGGGGGGGACGGAAACAACCGGGACCGGAGAGCGAAAATTCGACGGTTTTGGGGTCGGAAGAGAAATAAAA